AATCCTTTGAAGTAGATCTAAGAAGCTCCAAATTGCAAGTTTTTGAATTCTTGCAATTTGACAGGAACTGAATCCTTGTCATTTCTTTGGCCTTAGTTCCATATCATATTGAACCTGGTTAATGAGAAATTGGTGTGTTGTAAGAATCCTAAAAGAGATAAATCCTAAAAGAGATTCCACCAGGCTCCGACCTGGTGGAATCAACTTCCCCCCGAGGTGCGAACTGCTCCCACCCTGCCGGCCTTTAAGAAAGCCGTTAAAACTCTCCTGTTCCAGCAGGCCTGGGGCTGATGTCCCCGGGGGGCCGGGATATGATCGGACTCGCGGTATGATTGGATTATTTTATTGTTTTATGACTATTTTTAATTTTGTACGCCGCCCTGAGTCCTTTGGGATTGGGCGGCATATAAATATTTGTAAATAAATAAATAAATAAATAAATAATTGTCCATCAAACTAACTTTATCCCCCAAATGATCCAATATTCCATAGCAGTGGCCCCCAACCTTTTGGGCACCAGGGACCAGTTCCATGGAGAGAGGTTTTTCCGTGGATCGGAGGGGGCGTGGTTTCGTGTGCTCCATGCACCCTGCGAATGGGGGCTTCACTTGTTTGTGCGGACCGGTTGCTGACATGCTGTGGACTGATGCTGATCCACGGACTGGGGTTGAGGACCCCTCTTCTAAAGGGTTAAACCAGTGTTTTCTGAACAGGGTGACTTCAAGATATGTGGACTTCAACTCTCAGAATTCCTCAGCCAGCTGAAGTCCACACGTCTTAAAATTTGCTAAGAGTGAAAAATGCTGGGTTTGACTGATTTCACTGAGGCATGTTGTAAAAACACCAAATCTGTCCAACTGTTTCTCCCAGAACCATCAAAATAGCTGCACAGAAATTGCAGTTGAAAAAACTGGCCAATGAGAAAGAGGGAGACGGATAGCAATATTTTGACAGGCACTTTCTGGAGAAGGTGTAGTAGGGATTCGATATTCCCCAAATGGCAAATTTTGATCTTGTTAGTGCAATGATATTTACCACCAGAAAGATTTGATAGAGCTAATTAACAGAATAACAGAGTTGGAAGGGGCCATGGAAGTCTTCTAGTCCAACTTCCTGCTCAGGCAGGAGACCCTATGCCAGCGGTCCCCAACCCTTCTGGCTTTGTAGACCAGTGGCGAAGCCAGCAGCAGCAGAGAGGATGGTTCCACGCAAGCAGCAAGCATGTGCATGAGTGTGCATGCCTTCTGCTTGTGCAAATGGAGTTTCACCCACTCGCCTGCCACTTGCACGGTCCATTTCCCAATAGGCCATAGCTTAATGCCGGGCCACAGCCCAGGGATTGGGGATCCTTGCCCTACACCAGTGATGGCGAACCTTTTAGAGACCGAGTGCCCAAACTGCAACCCCAAACCCACTTTTGCATCGTCGGGTGCCGGGTAGGTGTGGCCCATTGGGTGGGTGTGGCTGCAGTGGTAACAGTAGACTGGGTGGGATTAAACAGTTCAATCAATCAATTCCAACTTTGCAAGATCTTTTTTTTTCCCTGCGAGAAGTTGAAATTGATTGATTGAACCTTTTTTTTTTTCACACAGCGGTAGAGGCCTAAAGCGAAAAGGTTTTATAAAACCCAGCTGAAGGCCTAGGACTGGGGTGACAGCACGCGTGCCCATAGAGAGGGCTCTGAGTGCCGCCTCTGGCACCCGTGCCAAAGGTTCGCCACCACTGCCCTACACCATTTTAGACAAATGGTTGCCCAATCGCTTCTTAATGGTTGAAATGCATAATGGTTGAAATGCATTCTGCAAATTATTTAGAGGCAGGAACTGGGTATATGTAGTCTAACAAAAAGAAGGATTGGGGTGTTATCATAGCAGTCTTCCAATATTTGAGGGGCTGCCCCAAAGAAAAGGGGGGGTTGACTTATTATTTTCCAATGCACTTGAATATAGGGAAAGAAGCAATGGGTGGAAACCAATTAAGAAGAGCAGTACAGATGGAAACTGGTCAAACAGAGGTGCAACCTGGAATTAAGGAGAAATTTCTTGACAGTGTGAACAATTAACCAGTGGAATGGCTTGCCTCCAGAAGTTTTGAGTGTTCCATAGCTGGAGGTTTTAAAGAAAAGATTGGATAGTTATTTGTCTGAAATGTCCTACTTGAGCAGGGGGTTGGATTAGAAGACCTTAAAGTTCCCTTCCAAAACTGTTACTGTATTTTCCGGCGTATAAGACGACTTTCTAAAGCGCGGAAATCGGCGCTGAAGTCAGGGGTCGTCTTATACGTTGAGTCGTCTTATATGCCGGAAATTACGGTAGTTTCCGGTGGATAAGATGACTTTCTAGGCATGGAAATCGGCGCCGAAGTCGGTGGTCGTCTTATACGCCAGATCACCTTATACGCTGGAAAATACGGTATTTTGTATTCTGTATTCTATTCTGAATAAAAAAAATAAGAGGACAGGGGTGAGAAGTAAGCTGAAAGCCATCATCAAAAGTAAGCTACAAGTAACTTACTCATGAGGCAGATCTCTATTTTCCCACTTAAAAACTCTGTTTATAAATATTTGCAGATGACATCTAACTCTGCCTTATGCCCCTATACACGTGGTTAAAAAGAACAATTAAAGCAAGCCAGATATTTGAGAATCTAGTGGAGCAGTGGTGTCCAACCTTGACAACTTTACGACTTGTGGATTTTAACTTTCAGAATTCCCCAGCCAGCATAGCTGAATTCTGGAAGTGAAGTCCACAAGTCTTAAAATTGCCAAGATTGAACACCTCTGCAATAGAGTTTCCTAGACACTCATCAAACATCATCTCAACACTTTCAAATACATCTGCTGACCACAGGGAGAATGCAGAACAGGCCAAATATCAACCGGGTTAGATAGACTGTAGTAAGGCTTCAAATCCACAATACAAACGGGTTGCTAGTGTCAACACAGCCTGAAAGGATATGAAATTGGTTACAAAAAAAGACATACAAAGTCCTTTTCCTCTTTTCACTGAGAAAGCAAGAAATCAGACCAGCTTTGCCAACTGCTGGGATGATTTTGTACCATCTGGAACCATTTATTTTTTAAATGAACAAGACTTGGTCTGCTGTTCAAGAAAGGGAGAAAGTGACTGCATCCTGCTTTCTTCTGAATATTTATCCATGGACTGCTTTCATTTTCCACAAGGAAGGATGGGATGTAGCTAACCAAGCTTTGAGATAGTGGTCGGTCTTTAAAAAAATCAGAACTGAGGATGAACTTTCAATATGGCATGATGGTGAAGATATGGGATCTGGGTGGAGAAATCCAGGTTTAATCCCCACAAACTATTATAGAAGTTCTGTGACTACAGACTAGTCCTTCTCTCAAACCCATGAGTCAGTGTGATGTAGTGGAGAAGATACTGGACAAAGAATGGGAGATCTGGATTATGTTTCCTCCTGTAGAAAGCCAAGGAGATAACAACAGAAGTATGCTTTAAGGCCAGGACAGAAAAGAGGAGGAGGAGGAGGAGGAGGAGGAGGAGGAGGAGGAGGAGGAAGAAGAAGAGGAGGAAGAAGAAGAAGAAGAAGAAGAAGAAGAAGAAGAAGAAGAAGAAGAAGAAGAAGAAGAAGAAGAAGAAGAAGAAGAAGAAGAAGAAGAAGAAGAAGAAGAAGAAGAAGAAGAAGAAGAAGAAGAAGAAGAAGAAGAAGAAGAAGAAGAAGACTTTCTACTCCCTATTTAACTAGAGCAGTGTCTCTCAACATGGCAGCTTGAAGATATATAGACTTCAGCTGGCTGGGGAATTCTGGGAGCTGAAATCCATACATCTTCAAATTGCCAAGGTTGAGAAACCCTGCAATAGATATTAGAAGGAAGGCAAGGGAAAGTAAGGCAGGTTTTCAAGATTCGCCTACTATCACCTACATCCATACAATGTAGTTTTAGCTAGACTTGTGAAGTCTCTTTCCTGTTCTCATATACCTGAAAAAGCTGGCAACCTGTTCAGCAATGGAAACTCGCTAGGTGTGATGAAAGATAATCCTGGCCCTGGAATACAAACCATTAGGATAGGAGAAGATTTGGAAAAGACTGCTTAGAATCTCAAGGTACCAGAACAAAACTCAAAATAGTCCTGCCTTGAGTTTGCTTGGCATAAGATGTAGTAAAGAGAAACTATGACAGGTTTTCAACATTCTGTTATGATGTCTATAACAATAACAACAGCAATAGCACTTAGACTTATATGCTGCTTGTCAGCATATTGCCCCCAGTAATCTAGGTCCTCATTTTACTTACCTCTGAAGGACAGAAGGCTGAGTCAATCTTAAGCAAATCAGAATCAAACTTCTGGCTATGGGCAGTTTGCCCACAATACTGCATTCTAACCACTACAGCTCTTAACAATAAAAAGCATTTTTTAAAGCTCCTGCTGCTGCCATTTCCTACAGAAACAGTGTGGTGTGATGGTGAAGATATGAAGATACTGAACTAGATCATAATTAGATTGTTTTTATCCAGCAGTTATTACCTTATAAGTGACTCAAGACAATGAATATTCATAATATTCCATCCTCCTCCTCTTTTTCTGTACAACAATAATCCTGTGAGGTAGGCTGAGATGAGAGAGAGGGATTGATTGGCCCAAAGTCACTTGTCTGGCTTACATGCCTAAGGTGGGATTAGAATCCACAGTCTCCTGCTGATTGGCCAAAGTCATACAGCCAGCTCTCATGTCTAAGGCGGGACTAGAATTTACCATCTCCTGGTCATTGGCCCACAGTCACTCAGCTGGCTTTCATGACTGGGCCAGGACTACAACTCACAGTCCCCTGTGAGGCCAGCACCTTAACCATTACGCCAATCTGGCTTTTCCGCCTGGGGGAGGCTAATGTATGACCCTTCTCTCTCAGCATAATCTATTTCAGAAGGTTATTATGGTGAAAATAAGATGAGGATATGCCCGTCAAAATATAAATCCAACACTTAACCAAACAAACTTACGATGGAGTTGGTTGGAACTTACATATTCCAGCGTGATATTTCAAAGCACTGACACTGTGTTTATGAGCCTTATAGGTCCGTATCCTCTCTCCAGTGTCAGCCAGCCAGCACTTTACTGTTTTGTCCGTGCTGCCTGAATACAAGCATCGATTCACAAGCTGAGAGACAGAGAAAGAAAGAACAGAAAGTTAATGGGGAAAGATCACTGGAAGTCACAGTTACCCTTCAATCTGGCTTTTCTCTTCATAACTGAAAGAGGTAGAAATAGTAACATCAATATTGAAAGTGTAATGTAGACCTTTTGAAATAACATTCTGCGTGGAACCAAGTCCTAGTGGCCTTCAAAAGAGGTCAAAAATTAGGTAGGAGAGATGTTTACTCACTACTTGTGGAAGACGAAGCTAGTCTTAAAAGCTAGTGAAGCAGTTCTTCGTAGGACCGGTGCAAATAATATTTTTATTAATTGCATTTGATTAAATTTACAGTGTACATTTATGTGAAGACAATAGACATCATCTGAAAAGTTCTTCAGTCCACAATCCATGTGAGCTATGAATTCAGTAATATGTGCACAGTCCTTCTTTCTAGCATTAAATTCAAATCACACTGCTTAACTTCAGCAGGCACTCTGCCATCAAGAGGAAACTTTATTCAGATGTTAAGAAAAACTGGGAAAGCAAATTCAATTATTTCTTTTAGATTCTCCCAGTCAGTTATCAATTGCTTGGAACATTTTCAAATGGAACAGAATAACAGAACTGGAAGGTACCTTGGAGGTCTTCTAGTTCAACCCCCTACTCAGGCAGGAAATCCTATACCAGTGATGGTGAACCTTTTAGAGACCAAGTGCCAAAAACTACCCCCACCCCCCTAGCCCACCCCTGCTCTGTCCCCACCCGGCCCACCTGCAGGGTCACTCACTGCCTCCATGGCCTGCCACAGATTGCCCAGGTGACCCAGCAGTGCCATAGTGGCCATACCCTCTGCCCATGCCCCACAGCATCAACTGCGCATGACGGGGCGTGAGGGTAGAGTCTTGTTCCCGCTGCCCGGCTGCCATATCATTGGCTATGCTGCTCTTTGCAGGCCACGCTTGGGGGTGACTCTCCTCCAGGGGGGCTGCTGGTTAGGGAGGGGCCGCGGGGGGGAGGTGGGGCTGGGGCTATGGCTATGGCACGCGTGCCCACAGAGAAGGCTTTGAGTGCCACCTCTGACACGTGTGCCATAGGTTCGCCACCACTGCCCTATACCATTTCAGACAAATGGTTATTCAATCTCTTCTTAAAAGTGATGAAGCATTCACAGCTTCTGGAGGCAGGTTGTTCCACTGGTTAATTGTTCTAACTGTCAGAAAGTTTCTCCTTAGTTCTAGGTTGCTTCTCTCCTTGATTAGTTTCCATCCATTGCTTCTTGTCCTGCCTTCAGGTGCTTTGGAGAATAGCTTGACTCCCTCTTCTTTGTGATAACCTCTGAGATATTGGAAGACTGCTATCATGTCCCCCCTCGTCCTTCTCTTCATTAAACTAGACATACCCAATTCCAGCAACCATTCCTTATATGTTTTAGCCTCCAATCCCCTGATCATCTTTGTTGCTCTTCTCTGCACTCTTTCTGGAGTCTCAACATCTTTTCTACATTGTGGCAACGAAACTGGATGTATTATTCCAAGTGTAGCCTTACCAGGTGTGACCTTACCAAACCATTATAAAGTGGTATTACTATTACTATTTGATTCTATCCCTCTGTTAATGCAGTCAAGACCTGTATTATCTTTTTTGGCAGTGGCAGCACACTGCTGACTCATACTTAAGTAATGGTCCGCTAGGACTCCGAGATCCCTCTCAGTTACTACTATTGAGCAAGGTACCACCTATACTGTACCTGTGCCCCACTGAATGCCTATTGATTATTATTATTGGTTATAATTATTACTACTATTGTCATCATTACGATTGCCTGCCATTACTGAAAGGTGCAAATGTGAAGATACCTCTGATGGCGCAGTGGTTAGAATGCAGTATTGCAGGCTACTTCTGCTGACTTGTGGCTGCCAACAGTTCGGCAGTTCAATTCTCACCGGCTCAAGGTTGATTCAGCCTTCCATTCTTCTGAGATCAGAAAATGAGGACCCAGATTGTTGGGGGCAATATGCTAACTATGTAAACCACTTAGAGAGGGCTGTAAAGCACTGTGAAGCGGTATATAAGTCTAACTGCCATTGCTATTGCTACAAAGATATGCTATATGATATTCAATAAGACACCAGAGCTGATACTGATACATGTGAAATAAGAGCCATGGTGGTGCAGTGGTTAGAATACAGTATTGCAGGCTAATTCTGTCAACTGCCAGGAGTTCGATCCTGACTGGCTCACAGTTGACTCAGCCTTCCATCTTTCCGAGGTCAGTAAAATGGGGACCCAGATTGTTGGGGGTTGGCTTTGTAAACTGCATAAGAGGCTGTAAAACACTATGAAGCAGTATATAAGTCTAAGTGCTGTTGCTAGTGCTAAAACAATTTTCACTTGTTGCATTTCTAATATAAAATGTTCTGAATTAAGGGCAGATATTTCTGGATGGACTGGGAAAAGCAATTCAGTTCAGACTAAAAAGTTTGAAGCAAGCTCATCTATAGATATTTACTTAATAACATTCAAAGGTAAAAACATAGATTCGGTTACAAAAGCTGAGGACACTGTATATTCCACCTTCAAGATCTACATTTTCAATTTACTCTACCAATATTGGTATACTGAAAATCTTTCCTCTTAGGCAATGTTTCTCAATTTTGGTAGCTTCAAAACATGTGGATTTCAACTCTCAGAATTCCCCAATCAAAATGCTGGTTGAGGAATTCTGAGAGTTGCAATCCATACTTCTTAGAGCTACCAAGATTGAAACACACTGCTCGACAGAAAGCTTGCCTGGATAAATACTTGATTAATATTCTCGTTCACAAAGCTTCCGTGTGTTGCAAATCCATCACTCCATTCTCAAAAATCTCTTGAAGGAATGAATGCTTCTAAAAGTGATCCATTATTTTAAATTTTTAAAAAAAAATGTCCATGTAATCTCCCATAACAGTCATTTGGCTAATGGAATGGAAAAACAACAGAGCCTCAGGCTCAAAGTATCCTATATCACCAGACACATACCAAGTATATTATAAGAAAACCTATGCAAGTTCTTTGCTGGGTTTATGTCAAAATAAAATAAAGTGGTCAATCAAGAAAAAACACACACTATTTTTTTTCTTTTTCATTAAAAAGACAGATGTGCTTTTCATCAATAAAAGCAAGGATTAATTTTCTAAGATTTGGAAAGGACAGGAAAAATAGTAGTCAGAAAAAGGATATTTTTAACAATAAACAGTCCTCGACTTACAACAGTTGTTTTAATGACAATTTGAAGTTACAACAGCACTGAGAAATGTGACTTATGATCATTTTTCACACTTACGACCATTGCAGCATCCCCATGGTCACATGATAAAAATCAACTGACTCATATTTATGACCGTTGCAGTGTCCTGGGGACATATAATCACCTTTTGTGACCTTCTGACGAGCAAAGTCAATGGGGAAGCCAGATTCACTTAACTATCAGGTTACTAACAACTGCAGTGATTCACTTAACAACTGTCGCAAGAAGATGGGGAATAAAGTGGGGCAAAACTCAGTTAACAAGTGTCTCACTTAGCAATATAAATTTTGGGTTCAATTGTGGTCATAAATCAAGGAGTACCTATATATTCAGTTTTAACAATGGCTATTCTAAAGCACGGCCAGGGAGACACAATTCCGACTAATAATCTGAAGATGATTTAGTTGGCCTCCTCAATTGGGTTTAAAAAAGATTTTATTTGCTCTGTTGGAGCACAACACAGATAGAAAGCAAGAACAATTGGACTGAGAGCCTGTTCCAAGTCTTGATAAAAGATCAAAATATTCCAGGAAAAAGACACTAATATTTTGCAGGTACATCAAAGAAACATGGAACTCTCCAGATTCTCAGGATAATTCATTTTTATTTAAATTTGCATTTATTCAAAATATTTATATAGCAGTCTATCTTCTAACCGCATGCTTCCTTCACACCCACCAGCAGAAAACAATTATCTGTATTTTGGAGTAGTGAATTGCTGTAAATTCACGGATTTTTCTCCCAAAATCTATCCATAGTTCTATGGACAGTGATCCAGCCAGCTACTTTTCTTTCCTGAACTTACAACCATTTGTTTAGTGATCATTCAAAATTTAAATGAAAAAAAGTAACTAAAGACTAGTTCTCACGCTTGTGACAGTTACTGCATCCCTCTGGTCACATGATCAGAATCTGGGCTCTTGATAATTGGCATGGATTTATGATGGTTGATTTCCATTTGCGACTTCCTAGCTGGCTTCCGATAAGCAAAGCCAATGGGGGAACCTGAATTTCTTTATGACCATTAATCACTTAATGATTACCGTAAATGCCGGCGTATAAGACGACTTCCGCGAGCGCTGAAATCGGCGCCAAAGACGGGGGTCGTCTTATACGCTGAGTCGTCTTATGCGCCGGAAATACTGGTAGTTTCCGGCGTATAAGACGATGTTCTAGGAATGCGGCCCGGCTATAAAGACGGGGGTCATCTTATACGCCGGGTCGCCTAATACGGCGGCATATACGGTACCTTGCTTAGCAATGGAAATTGTGACTCCAGTTGGGATTGTAAGTTGAAAACTACTTGTACCAAAGCATTACTATTCCTTAATTACCCTAGACCAGGGGTAGGCAACCTCGACTCTTTTATGACTCATGGACATCAACTCCGGAATTGCTGACTCAGGAATTCTGGGAGTTGAAGTCCATGAAACATAAAAGAGCCGAGGTTGCCTACCCCAGCCCTAGACAGATATTAAACATTTTCCATGGAATCTATGATTTGGCTTCAGTGCAGATATTATTGTTCAACCAGGAAATAATAAAAACAATACAAAGAAACAAAAGAACACACTAACATCTGTTGCTCTTACATCTGCTCCCCAGAAATTCTCCAAGTTTTGCTACTCATGAATATTCATCTCCTCCGCTACTTCCTCATACAGGATAGTTTCAAACATCTTTCTATAGCATGGTTTTCTTAAACCATTGTTTCTTGAATATACCACAGTATTTGGGTCCATAGATTACAGTCATAAACCATGGGGTTCAGAAACCACAATAGCTGAGGTTTTCCAATGTGGTCATCCAAAACTCACCTTATAGATTACGGCAGCCAATTAATTTTCTCCTACCCGCCAACGGATATGCTGGATTGTGAATCCACTCAGCCCAGAGATCGTATGGCTTACAACTATTTTCTTATATCAAGAATATTTTCTATTTTTATTGCTTTAGAAGTGTTTATCTTTCATGATTTTAATGCTTTTGATACTGTAAGTCACCCAGAATTGCTTTGAAAAGAGAAATGAATCTAATAAATCAGATAGATAGATGAGAGTCAGTGAGAGAGAGAGGGGCGAGATAGATAGATAGATAGATAGATAGATAGATAGATAGATAGATAGATAGATAGATAGATAGATACATAGATACATAGATAGATACATAGATAGATACATAGATAGGAGGTAGGTAGGTAGGTAGGTAGGTAGGCAGGCAGACAGACAGACAGACAGACAGATAGATAGATGGAGAGAGAGAGAGAAAAAAATGATAGGATAGATAATAGATAGATAGATGACAGACAGATAATAGAGATAGAAACAGACAGACAGACAGACAGACAGACAGATAGACAGAGATAAATAAATATGTTAGGATGATACTGTTTTGTGGAGGATCTTTTTCCAACTCTGTACGCCCAGCTCTTCTGTTGGTCCTTCTTCAAATCCGCTTCCTCTCACCTGTATTTTTTCCTCCCCCAAAATACCAGTTGCGCAAATGCTGCAGACCTCAATACCACCTTTGGAAGAAATGCAACCTCTCTTACCTCTAGGCAAATGATGGATCCTTGATGATCTTTGAAGACCCTCAGCTGTTCCCCTGTCACAATGTTCCAAGTCCGAATGGTATAATCAGTGCTTCCCGAAAAGAGCTCCCTGTTTGGAGCGTCAAGTATAAGGCATAGGACCGCCCCAGTGTGTCCCAGCAGGGTCTGGTGGCAACGCCCAGTGGACACCCACCAGACCTTGACAGTGCAGTCCGTGCTCCCCGTCACCAGGAAGTCTTGGCTTAGCTCTTCCACCTCTTCTATCTTCTCCTCCGCCTCTTCCTCTTCAAGGACATCCTTTGAAGAGTAGAGCGCCAGGGCCAGAACGCAGTTGCAATGGCCCCTAAACTCCTGGATCGGTTTTTCCTTATCCACACTCCAGCAGCGTGCAGTCCTGTCATAGGATCCACTGAAGAGGTAATCCTTGAAAACCAGGATCCTGTTGGGAGAAAGCGGTCACTGATTAGTCTTCTCATAGTGGCTTGACAAAGTAACATAGAAGCCATATGTTCCATTTGTGTAGAAAGCTCATTTTGAAGATTAAGCTTTTCCACTTTAGTCGCCCCTCGACTTACGATCACAGCTGGGACCAGAATTTCCATTGCTAAGCAAGTCAGTTGTTAAATGTATTGCACCTAATTCTATGACCATTTTTGCCACGGTGGTTAAGTTAATCACATAGTTGTTAAACCAGCCCAGCTTCCACTGTTGAGTTTGTTCGTTGGAAGCTGCCTGAAGAGTTTGTAAATGATGATCACATGATCCCGGGGTGCTGTAACTATCAGAAATAAATGCCAAGCACCCAAATTTTGATCATGTGACTTTGGGGATGCTGTGATGGTTGTCAGTGCGAGTACTGGGGATGAGTCACTTTTTCAGTGTGGTTATAACTCTGAATGGTTGCTAAACAAATGGCTGCAAATCGAGGACTCCCTATACCAGAGGTAGGCAACCTTGGCTCTTTTGTGACTCGTGGACTTCAACTCCCAGAATTCCTGAGCCAGCCATGCTGAGGGGAAAAGAGAATTTCCAAACTGAGCCATGCTGGCTCAGGAATTCTGGGAATTGAAGTCCACAAGTCATAAAGCGGCCTAAGCCTAGGCCAAAGGTAGGCAGCCTTGGCTCTTTTATGACTGGTGGACTTCAACTCCCAGAATTCCTGAGCCAGCCATGCTGAGGGGAAAGGAAGAGTTTCCAAGCTGAGCCATGCTGGCTCAGGAATTCTGGGAGTTGAAGTTCACGAGCCATAAAAGAGCCAAAAGTTGCGTACCCCTGCCCTGTACTATAATTTACTGCCTTGCCATTGCCAAGAATCCCACAGCAATGACTGCAGGCTTTTTGTTCAACCTTCTGTAGAATCTGTTCACAATGTATTCCTATGGAGGACTATTCAAAGAAGCATGTTTAGGCTAAGCAGCTTTAGGCATGTATGTTTTTCCTCTCTGGCTTTGGGATGAACGGTGGGGTGCAGAATTAATAATTCCTCCACAGAAATATAGCTCTTTTGTACTTCCAAAATTAATTTTTGAAATTGGGTTGCTGGAATTGGGTATGTCTAGTTTAATTAAAAGAAGGACGAGGGAGGGACATGATAGCAGTGTTCCAATATCTCAGGGGCTGCCACAAAGAAGAGGGGATTGACTTATTCTCCAAAGGACCTGAAGACAGGACAAGAAGCAACGGATGGAAACTAATCAAGGAGAGAAGCAACCTAGAACTAAGGAGGAATTTCCTGACAGTGAGAACAACTAAGCAGCGGAACAACCTCCCTCAAGAATTTGTGGGTGCTCCATCATTGGAAATTTTTAAGAAGAGATTGGACAACCATTTGTCTGGAATAGTATAGGCTTTCCTGTTTGAGAAGGGGGTTGGACTAGAAAACCTCCAAGGTTCCCTTCCAACGCTGTTATTTTGTTATTCTAATTGAACAAAATACGCCTATCTCAAATTTTCAAAATTATCAACAGTGAGGCCTATTGTAAACTGATGTCTGTACCATCCTTTGGGAATCTATTAGATCATTTGATATTTCAAAGCAAATGCATTAAGGTTAAATGTGTTGATTATTATCTGCGCCATCTGCTTGTGCCACAATGCCTTTCCAAAACACGGAAGCAAAAGAAGGCGAAACGGATAATCCACCCTGAGGCTTTCCTATATACAGGTGCTCCTCAAATTATGGCCACAATTGAGCCCAACATTTCCATTGCTAAGCAGGGCAGTTGTTAAGTGAGTCATGACCCATTTTAGAACCTTTTTGCCATGATTATTAAGTGAATTTCTGCAGCGGTTAAATGAATCACGTGGTCATTAAGCAAATAAGGTTTCCCCCACTGACTTTATCAGATGGTTGCAAATGGAGATCACATGATCCCCAGGACAATGCAACTGTCATAAATACACGCCAGTTGCCACATGCCTGAATTTTGATCCCATGACCATGGCAATACTACAACAGTTGTAAGTGTGAGAAACAGTCATAAGTCACCTTTTTCAGTGCCATTGTAATTTCAAACGGTCACTAAATGAATGGTTGTAAATCGAGGATTACCTATAATACAGAGGTCACACAGTCATCCTGGAAGTTGCCAGGATTTGGGGAACAAGCATAATTTTCAGATGATTGAGAATTGCAGCCTCTCCCAAAATGGCAGCCACTTCCGGGACAGCACTACGTGGCCTCCACAAAGAAAGGCCGTGTGGTGAATTGGTGCTGCCAGAAGGAGATCTATGGCAGTGGTTCTCAATCTTTCTAATGCCGCGACCCCATAATACAGTTCCCCATGTTGTGGTGACCCCCAACCACTTATACATCACCGGGTGCCAGGGGCGTGGCCAAAGAAAAGGGGGGGAAAATGGCAGACAGCCTTGTTTGGCAACCCCTGTGAAATGGTCGTTCGACCCCAAATGGGGTTCCGACCCACAGGTTGAGAACCACTGCTCTATGGAAAAGTGAAGTCACAAGAGGGAGGGAGACCCAGTGGGACAGGAAGGAGGTCTGCAAGACACAGCAGGGTGGAATAGGGGGAAGGCAGGCAGGGGGTTGCTAGAGCTCCCCCGTGGTTGATTGTAAGGGTTGGGGGGTTGCCAAGTGCCTGAATTTTGTTCACGTCACCATAGTGGTGCTGCAGCAGCTGTAACTTTGGTTATAGGTCATAAGATCCTTTGTTCAGCATGGTCATGATTTCAAATGTCCACTGAACAAATAGTCATAAGTTGGGGACTACCTGTAACTTTCTGGGGTACAAAATGGGGTGCTTCAATCGTTTTAGGAGTATTCTGAGCCCAGCAAGGAAGTTTGAAACTGTTTCTTTCATTTTCAGAACTGAACCACCAAATGGGAATGTTTCAAATCTAATATGCGCTGAATTCAAAATGTTTTATACACCTCTTTGGGTGAACGTCCAGAAAACCACTGATGAGGGGTAGAAATTAGGCAGGTGCTGGCCCCGATGCAACCGTTACTCCTTCAGCTCTTATGATGTAGAGACTGGAGGAGAAAGAGAGAGAGCAAGTCTAGGAAACATAAAATAATCACCCTAATACGTACCTATTCACGATAGATGTGTGTCCACGATAAATAGCAAGGCATCTTCCGGTCATCACATCCCATTTTCTGATAGTGTGATCCGCACTGCAGGTGAAAGCAACTTCATTTTCTAAGTGACAAAATGTGATGTAGCTTTCATGACCTGGAACGAATGAATAAACATACAGACAGATCATTCCTATGGCTATCGTTTCAATGGTGGGTAATGTATTTAGGGCTGAACAGTTGGGTTTTGCAACAGGCTTATAAACACATTTTTAAAAATTATAGAGGATTTTTTGTGAATGCAGTGTTTCTTAACCCTGGCCATTTTAAGAGGGGTGAACTTCAACTCCCAGAATTATCCAGCCAGCCATCCCAGCTATGGAATTCTGGGAGTTGGTCCTCCTATCCTACAGTGCTCAATGTTGAGAAACACTGATTATAAAGGGAAAAATTGGGTTGGGATAATAACAACAACAACAATAAAGTTGGAAGGGACCTTGGAGGTCATGTAGTCCAACCCCCTGCTCAGGCAGGAAACTCTATACCATTTCGGATAAATGGCTGTCCATTCTCTTCTTAAAAACTTCCAGTGTTGGAGCATTCACCGCTTCTGGAGGCAGGTTGTTCCACTGGTTAATTGTTCTAACTGTCAGGAAGTTTCTCCTTAGTTCCAGGTTGCTTCTCTCCTTGATTAGTTTCCATCCGTTGCTTCTTGTCCTGCCTTCAGACGCCTTGGAAAATAGATTCCTCCCCTGCAACTTCACCCCAATTTAAATTCTACATGAGGAATTTAGTCAGAAAAAGCTTCAGATTATTTGCCATCATAGCCTAACGTGGCTCTCTGCCTACAATGTCTATTTTAAAAGCAGGGCAGCCAAAGACTATCTCACTTCTGGGCTGAAGATCATCACCATAGGGCAGAGTCATGTGATATAGCACGAAAAACGAGCATGCTTGTGCATGTGATTAAGTGCAAGAACACATGAACAAAAACCTGAAGCAGCCACACTGCACTGTCCAATGCTTCTATGAGGCCACTGACCTAGCTATATGGCATCCATATTTATTTGTTGGGATTTTTATCCCATCTTTATTACTTTATAAATAACTAAAAAGCAGCAAACATTCATAATATTCTATCATCTTCCTCTTTTTCCCACAATAACAATCCTGTGAGGTAGTTGGGCTGAGAAAAAGGGACTGGCCTGAAGTCACCAAGCAGCCTTTCATGACTCAACTAAGGCAGGACTAGAATTCACAGTCTCCTGGTGATTGGCCCAAAGTCATCTAGCTGGCTTTCATGACTCAGCTAAGGCAGGACTAGAACTCACAGTCTCCTGGTGATTGGCCCAAAGTCATCTAGCTGGCTTTCATGACTCAACTAAGGCAGGACTAGAACTCACAGTCTCCTGGTGATTGGCCCAAAGTCATCTAGCTGGCTTTCATGACTCAACTAAGGCAGGACTAGAACTCACTCTCTCCTGGTGATTGGCCCAAAGTCATCTAGCTGGCTTTCATGACTCAACTAAGGCAGGACTAAAACTCACAGTCTCCTGGTGATTGGCCCAAAGTCATCTAGCTGGCTTTCATGACTCAATTAAGGCAGGACTAGAGCTCACAATCTCCTGCTGATTGACCCAAAGTCACCCAGTTGGCTTTCATGCCTAAGGCGAGACTAGAACTCACAATTTTCTGGTTTCTAGGCCAGAATCTTAATTCCCACACCAAACAGACTCTCCTTATCCATATCCATGTCTATCTTTTTCCATACATCTGGACAATTTGGAAGAGTTTATGTCCCAGAGGTAGATAGACTTGATTACAAATAGTCCTCAATTTACAACCACAATTGATCCCAAAACTTCTTTTGCTGACCAGGACAGTTCTTAAATGGGTTTTGACTCATTTTGCGATCTTTCTTGCCACAGTTGATAAGTGAATCACTGCAGTTGTTAAGTTAGTAACACAATTGTTAAGTGAAACTGGCTTCCCCATTGATTTTGCTTGTCAGAAGATCATAGAAGGTGGTCACATGACCCTGGGACACTGCAACGGTCATAAATACCTGCCAGTTACCAAGTACCTGAATTTTAATCATGTGACCATGGGGATGTTACAATGGTCCTAAGTGTGAAAAATAGTCAAGCCACTTTTTTCAGTTCCATTGTAACTTCGAACAGTCACTAAATGTATGGTTGTAAGTTGAGGACTACCTGTATACAGCAATGAGTGCACTGTTGGAAGACCTGAACAGCCAGGCTGGGGACACATGATTCTGGAGAAGATCATCAAGAGTCAATATCAACTTCATGGTTCATCAGTCAATCAACCAACTGCAAAGGCAAAGCTTCCTTTGTTGTTGTTGTTGTTAATTGCGAAGTCGTGTCCGACCCATCGCGACCCCATGAACAACGTTCCTCCAGGTCTTCCTGTCTTATATAGTGAAATCTATAATATTGGGCAAGGTGGAAAGAAAGAGAAGAGGATGGCCAGCAGCAACATGGATGGACTAAATTCCATAGGAAGTTCTGAAAGACCAGACCGGAGAAAGCTCACCCTGGAGAATGTCCATCTATGTGGTTGCTGAGGGTCAATATTGACGAGATGGTCCATAATCAATTTATATCCCGGAACCAAAAGACAAATTTTGGATCACAAGACCTCTAAGGTCCCTTCCAATTCTGTTATTCTGTAATTCTGCCATTTGCCTACCTTGAAAGTGGGCTTGACATTCGTTGCTGGCAGTGCTCCAGAGCCGTGCTGTCCCATCTTCACTGCCTGTTAACAGCCACTGCCCATCGGGACTCAGGCTGATCCAGTTGATGCCCCCTTGGTGACCAGTGCAAATTCTGAGGGCTGAAGAACTGCTCCCCATTCTGCCACAAGGCAGAGGCTGGAATGGGGACACCCATCAAGTCCAGATCATCTTAAGATCAGGAAAAAAGGCCTTGCAAAAACAAACAACATCAAATCCGATTGAGCCATCCTTTGGTGTAAAGAATTAGCCAAGAGCCGTTGATTTCTGTTACGAACACATAACATTCAAATGATACAATTTTCCCAAACTATTCAGGCGCACAACTGCATTTCCTTAGCCAGAAGTGCACATTCATCAAACAAAGCACACATTACTCCATCGTTCACCATGAAGCTGACCTTGAAAATGTGAGGAGACTTCCGCTGATTCAGAACGTGGCAGGGAAGAATATTGACCAAAACCTACTGAAATGCTGACATCGTTCTCAATTTTTTTTAACAGAAAATGAGGGTTTTGTTCATTCGTTTTGTGTTTTGTTTTAATATAGTTCTAGTTGTTGGTTACTTTTACAATTCAAAATAATACTGGACCAGGACTGTTTCTCCTAAATGAATCTGCCCATGATTTAAAATCTACAAATAATCTCTGGGTTCATACAGGTAGTCCTTGACTTATGATTGTTTCCTTGATGACTGTTCCAAGTTATGACGGAACCCCCCAAAGCTACTTAGGACACATTTCCAAAGTTTTGATGTCCATCCCCCCACAGTCACGTGATTAGATTTTGGGTGCTTAGTAATGGCCTGCATTTGCAGTGTCTTGCAGTCACATGACTGTGATTTACAACATTTTTGCCAAAAACTAGTGTTTACTTTAGGTTTCTGGCGAAACATTCCCCATAGCAAACAAATGGATTCACTTACTAATTGCCCCATTCCCTTAACAATCACAGCCTTCATTTTATTAACATTATGTTAACCTTTAATGACCATCACAAAAAGATTGTAAAAGCAGATCTGGTCATGTGATGAATTGCTTTATGACAGTAATTGTTGAGTCCGTGGCGGGAAAATAGACACGAGAAGCAGCTGGAGTTCTCAGTTTCTTTTATTCAGCGTTCAGCTTACAGGAAGATGGCTTCAGCCTCGCCCAAACGCCTCGCAGCCTCTTATATAGGCAACTCCCGGGTAAATGGGTTACTTTTCCCGCGCCAGCACCCGCGCATGCGCACGGCGCTGGCGACAGCCTGTCTGGTCCCGGGCAGCTTTGCACCTGCCCGGGACTGCCTGCAAACGCCCGAGCCGTTTGCAAGGCTCGGGACATAACACCCCTTTCCCCCGGGCTAAAACTACTACCAACATACAACATTTATTTTATACGACAATTTGCTCCCCAGTGCTCCCACTGTTTACTGGCTTTTGCCTTGCCAGCAATGTTATGTAATCTTCTAGGTACTTAGGAGATTTCTTTGCTCTCTGTGACCTTCTTAGCTCTGGGTTACTGGCATAAGTTCCCTGACTGGAGGGAGGCGTGAGCCTGTTCTCTCTATTGTGCCCTGGTGTCTTCCAAGGACTGTGCCCCGATGCCTGGCCTGCTTGCTTGCCCACCGGGTTCGTCAGGCCAGGGCTTCTGTTGCTTTGTGACCTGGTTGTCCTACCTAGCTGTAGACCCTCAGGCCCTTTGAAGTGATAGCCACTGCTGGGCGTCTCTGTAGAACCTCCTAGGTCAGTCCAAGACCTGTCAGGAGGCTGTCCATTCCCTGAACCCCATTCTGTGCTCGGGCTCGTGTGGGTTTCTGTACTTTCCCAAAACTCAGGTGTTCCCTGATTTGTGCTAGGGGTGTTGTAGTCGGGACTTGGCTCCTCGACTAGCTCTGTGTATGTTTGACCCCCTGTAGGATTTGGGGTAAGGTCAGGCCAACCTTGGGAATTGTGTGCCAGCTCTCTTGCAGGGAATGATTTGTTGGGATGCCCCCGGGTATCCTCCGTTGCTGGAGTGCTGTGTGATGTGTGTGGAAAGTGAGTATGCCCCCGGGGTGACTCCCTGGCTGGAGTAGGCGTGAGTGCCTATTGTGTGGGTAAGCTCCATGACTTTCTTTTCGGAGCAATTGCGGAACCTTGGGATGGGCCGTTTGTGGCTCCCTCAGTGGAGATGGGCAGTAGCTCTTGCCCTTCCCTTTGCCCTCCCCCTCCCCCCTTCTCAGCAGAAAAGTCTCGCCTAGAGCGAAGTTGGTCGATGTGCCGACGCAGGACACGACCGTTGTCCAGGGCAACCTCGTAGGAGAGAGGACCTGTGATCCTGGACACAGAAGCGGGGACCCATGTATGACCAGGCCCGTAATTGCGAGCCCAAACCGGGGCACCCACAAGTAGTTGTCTAGGTGCCCTAGGATGTGAGGTAGATGAAGGCAGTCTGTCCGGATGCAACCGGTCAAGTCTAGTAGTAAGTTGGCGCCCCCAACGAAGTTCAGCTGGACTTCTCCCTGTAGAAGTGGACGGTGTGGTGCGATAAGAAAGGAGAAAGTCAGCCAACCTGTGATGCCAGTCCCCGTAGGTGAGTCTCTTCAAGGCGTCCTTTGCGATGCGCACCATGCGTTCAGCCATACCGTTGGTGGACGGGTGAAAAGGCGCAGACGTGGCATGACGAATCAGGTTTGCCTGTAAGAAAGCTTGGAATTCGGAGGAGGTGAATTGAGGGCCGTTGTCGGACACAATGACATCTGGCAGCCCGTGTGCAGCAAAAATCCCCCTCAGTACCTGAATAGTCTTTGCAGTGGTGGTGGATGAGACAGGCACAACCTCAAGCCATTTTGAATGGCTGTCAACAAGGACCAAGAAGAACTGGCCCTGAAAGGGCCCAGCGTAGTCAATGTGCACCCTAGACCATGGGGACTGTGTTTCCTCCCATCTATGCACAGGAGCTTGGGGCATCTCTGGGCGAGATCGTTGGCACAGGTGGCATGCGTGTACCGTAGCCTCAATACCTTTATCTAAACCAGGCCACCACAAGTGGCTTCGTGCAAGAGCCTTCATACGAACAATGCCAGGATGACCCTCGTGGAGGGATTCTAAGACCCTAGTCCTCATTGAGGTGGGAATGACAACTCTGTTTCCCCAAAGCAGACAACCCTGAGAAAGGGACAGTTCGTTCCTTTTGGACCAGAAACTCTGAAACTCAGGACTAGGGCAGTGCTCAGGCCACCCGGACAGGACCCAGGAGCGGACACGTGAAAGTGTGTGATCTGTACCTGTTTCAGCGGTAACATCCCTGGCACTAAGAGGGAGCTCGGGCAAGGCTTGGATTGATAGAATGTTGACAGCTGGCGCGGGGTCAGCTTCTACTACTGGCAGAGGCAACCTACTGAGGCCATCAGCATGGCCCATTTCTTTCCCAGGCTTGTGGAGTAATGAAAAATCATATGCAGACAAAAAATAGACCACCTAAGCATTCTAGGGGAAATGATGTGGGGAGTCTGCTTACGTGTGGTAAACAGTCCCAGCAGAGGCTTATGGTCAGTGAAGACCGTGAAATGCCTGCCATATAGAAAATCGTGGAATTTTTTAATTCCAGCAACAACAGCCAGAGCCTCCCTGTCTATCTGAGCGTAGTTGCGCTCGGCAGAAGACAGTGTTCTGGAGTAGTATGCAATAGGAACCTGAGTTCCATCAGACCTGAGGTGACTCAGGACAGCTCCAACCCCGTAGGGGGACGCATCACAAGCGATGCACACAGGAAGAGACTCGTTGAAATGTGCAAGAACACTGTTAGAAGTGAGCAAGGCCTTGACTTCTTTAAAGCAAGACTCATGTGCTTGTGACCACAGCCACACAGCTTGTTTCTCTAGTAGCCTGTGAAGAGGCTCAGCTACACTAGCTTTATGTGGAAGAAAAGAATTGTAGAAATTCAGGAGGCCTAAGAAGGCCTGAAGTTCGGCCTTAGACTTTGGCCTGGGTGCTTCTAAAATAGCAGTTAGTTTGGATTCAGCAGGATGAATCCCAGCAGCATCAATTTTGAATCCCAGAAATTCAGTAGAAGGCACCCCAATCTTGCATTTGTCTTTTCTGAGCTTGAGGCCTGATTTCCTGAATCTTAACAGGACAGCCCTAAGCCTTTCAGCTAGAATGTGTGTGGAGTCTCCTGCAATCAAGACATCGTCAAAGTAGGGGCAGACCCCTGGTATACCTCGTAGTGTGTTTTCCATTACGCTTTGGAAAATCCCAGGAGCGACATTCACTCCAAACTGTAGCCTTTTTACCTTAAAGGCTCCCCTGTGGGTCACAATGGTCTGAGCTATGGCAGCATCATCATCAACAGGCAGCTGTTGATATGCTTGAGCTAGGTCAAGCTTTGCAAAAACACGCCCCCCCTTGAGAGAGGCCAGGATGTGACTGACCACAGGAACAGGATAGGCATGTTGCTGCAATGCCTTATTGAGTGTGCATTTGTAATCAGCACAAATGCGAATGTCCCCATTTGCCTTTAGAGGCGTGACAATGGGGGTCTCCCACGGGCTGGAATCAACAGGTTCTAGGATTCCCTGTTGGATTAGTTTGTCTAATTCAGTGTCAATCTTACTTTTTAAAGCAAAAGGGACCCTTCTTGCTTTAATCCTAATGGGAGTGACAGTGGGGTCTAGCTTTAAGGACACAGGTGGTCCTTTGAATGTGCCCAGCTGGGGGCTGAAAACATCTGCAAATTCTTGCAGACTTCCTGTAGGTCGAGTGTTTGTAAGCTATTGAGTCCTGTGACGTGTATCCCCAGGGCCTCAAACCAATCGAGTCCTATGAGACTCGTTCGTTCACCCCCTACTACTAATAACTCTAGTGGACCTTCAAAACTCTTGTATTGCACGTTAAGGGTGGCCTCCCCCTTAACACACACTCTTGAGTTCTGAAAATCTGTTAATACAATATCAGAAGGCCTTAACTTGGCCTTAGTCCCACTACTGGAACAAATCTTCCTAAATGTATGCAATGAAATGATGGAAAGGGCAGACCCTGTGTCTAGTTCCATAGATAATGGAACCCCTTGTAGCTTCACGTTGAGTGACAGCTTTTTCTTCATGGGCTTGTGGGTGCCTGTCCTACAGATGCTTCTTCGCGAAGCGCAAAAACCTACCCTATTCTGGCTGGGGAGTCTGGTACCCTTCAGGCGTTCTTCTTGGGGTTGTGCCTTTCGTCGGCCCCGAC